CCGTGTCCCTGGTGTCACCGCGCCCCGCTGTCACTGAATTGTGAAGCTGCTGCGCCCACGGTGCCGCTGCACCCTGATGGGGATGGGTGCTGTGCGGGGCAGGGGCCGGCGTGGGCACCCACGGGGTGTGGGACCCCCAGGGACGTGAGCACCCGCAATTTGGGGACCCCTTGGTGGGCAGGGGCACCCCAGGGACATGAGCACCCACAATATGGGAACTCTTCATTTAGCAGGGGCACCCTGGGATGTGAGCACCCACAGTTTGGGGACCACTCGGTGGGCAGAGACACCCCAGGGACATGGGCACCCACAATCTGGGGACTCCTCATTTAGCTGGGGCACCCCAGGAATGTCAGCACCCACAATTTGGGGACCCCTCAATGGGCAGGGGCACCCTGGGGATGTGGGCACCCACAGTTTGGGGACCACTCATTGGGCAGGGTCACCCCAGGGATGTGGGCACCCAAAATTTGGGGCTCCCTTGGTGAGCAGGGACACATCAGGGACACGGGCACCCACAGTCTTGGGACCCTTCATATAGCAGGAGCACCCGAGGTATGTGAGCACCCACAATTTGGGGACACTTTGGTGGGCAGGGTCACCCTAGGGATGTAGGCACCCAAAATTTGGGGCTCCCTTGGTGGGCAGGGGCACCTCAGGGACTTGGGCACCCACAATTTGGGGACCCCTCAATGGGCAGAGGCACCCCAGGGATGTGAGCACCCACAATTTGGGGACCCTTTGGTGGGCAGAGACACCTCAGGGATGTGAGCACCCACGATCTGGGGACCCTTCAGTGGGCAGGGGCACCCTGGGGACATGGACACCCACAATTTGGGGACCCATCAGTGGGCAGGGCTACCCCACAGCAACGGGCACCCCGAGGTGCCCCGATGCAGGTGCCCAGTTAAGGGTGGCCAGATAAGGGTGCCCTGGATGAGGGTGCTCTGGAGAACGACACCCAGGTAGGGGTGCCCGTATGGGGGTGCCCAAAGAGGGGCACCCAAACTGGGGTTCCTGGATGGAGATACCTGGGCATGGGTGCCCAGAGAGGGGCACCCAGAGAAGGACGAGCACGTGGGGCGACAACGAAGGGGTGCCCTGATGAGGGTGCCTGGATTGGGGTTCTTGGGTGGGGACACCCCAATAGGGGTGCCTGGATTGAGGTTCTTGGGTGGAGGTCCCCAGATATGGGCACCCACATAGTGGTGTCTGGGTGTGGGTGCACTGGGTGAGGGCACCTAAGTAGGGGTGTCTGGACAGGGTGCCCATATTGGGTCCCTGGTGATCTGGCACCTGGATAGGAGTGACTGGGAGGGGACGCCGGGTTGGGGGTGCCCAGCCAAGGGTGCCCTCACCCCCGCCCACCCCACTCCCCATGGCACCCCGTGGACACCCTGTGGCCAACGTGGCTCTCCCCACCCCACAGATGGAGGTGGAGAAACCCCCGCTGGCACCTGAGCCACCGACTCTCCTGAAGACCTACAAATGGCGAACGGCAGCACCCATGGGTGACCGGGAACCCGAGCGTGGCATGGGGTCTCCAGGCAGCCGGCGTTGGACCCGGTTGCAGGGGTGGAAACGTTCCTACAGCCAACCCGAGTCTGATGGCCCCGATGATGGGGCTGGAAAGGGCAGCTTGGGGGCACCCAAGGCCAGCACCCGTCGGTCTCTCTTCCAACGGGCTTTTTCGGCCCCCTCCAAGGGGACCAAGGAGACACGGGCACCCGAAGGTGGCAAGGCCACCCTGCAGAAGTACCTGCGCTCCATGTCCAAGAGGAAGGGTCATGTGGAGAGCGGTTACAGGGCTGAGCAGTTGCTCCATTTCCAGGTATGGGGGTGATGGGGAGGGTGGGGGTCAGGGTGCTGGTGGTGGGCGCTGGCGATGGGATAGGGGTGGCGGTGGTTGGTGATGGGTTGGGGGTGATGGGTTGGGGGGTGATGGGTCATAGGCAGTTGTTGGTGATAGGTTGGGGAGTGGTGGGTGGTGGGAGATGATGGTGGGTGATGGATTAGGGGTGATGGGTGGTGGGTGATGATGATGGGTGATGGATTAGGTGTGATGGGTGGAGGGGTGATGGGTTGTGGGTGATGATGACAGGTGATGGGCTGGGGCGTGATAGGTGGTGGGAGATGATGGTGGGTGATGGATTAGGTGTGATGGGTGAAGGGTGATGGGTGGTGGGTGATGATGATGGATGATGGATTAGGGGTGATGGGTGATGATGATGGGTGATGAGTTGGGGTGCTGGATGATGGGTTGGGGGCTAATGGGTGGTGGGCAATGGAGATGGTTGATGATCTGGGATGCAGCGGGTAATGGGGTGGTGGTGATGGGTGATGGGTTGGGGTGTGATGGGTGGTGATGGATGATGGTAACCACTGGGGTCTGGGAGGTGGTGGGTGATGGATGGTAGGTGGGTGACTCCTGGCCCTTCAGGGTCGAGGGGGCACCCATGGGTGCAGGATGGCCGGGTCCCATCTGGCCCCAGGGCCTGCTCCTGGCCGCACGTGGCCCTGGTCCCATGTGTGCCCAGCACGGGGCTCAGTGGCGGCACGTGGAGCTGTGCCAGCCCCTGCAGCACCCAGATCTGGCAAAACCGGCTTGGCTTGGGCAGGGCCCCCCACAGCGCAGGCAGGGCCCCGGGGCAGGGCAGCCACCCGGCTTTGTCCCCATGGCGGCACGGCCATGGCCAAGCGTGGCCTGGCATTGCCACGCCAATGGTGGCACAGCCCCATGTCCCCCAGCATTGCCACCTCAATCGTGGCGTGGCCATGGCCATGTGTCCTCCAGCATCGCCACGCTTGTGGTGGCATCTCCATGGCCACATGTCCCCCAGCATCACCATGCCCATGGTGGCACGGCCATGGCCATATGTCCCCCTGGCATCACCACCCTCATGGTGGCACCTCGATGGCCACGTGTCCCCCAGCATCACCATGCCCATGGTGGCACGGCCATGACCATATGTCCCCTGGCATCACTACCCTCATGGTGGCAACTCCATGGCCACATGTCCACCAGGATCACCACACACATGGTGGCAGGGCTGTGGTCACACATGTGTCCCCTAGCATCTCCACACTCATGGTGGCACCTCCATGGCCACATGTCCCATAGCACCACTGTACCCATGGTGACACGGCCATGGTCACACGTCCCCTGGAGTCACCACCCTCACAGTGGCACCTCCATGGCCACATGTCCACCAGCATCACCACAGACACGGTGGCACGGCCATGGCTGTATGTTCCCTGCCACCATCACCCCAACCATACCATGGCCATGGCCCCATGTCCCCTGGCACTGCCACGCTGCCCACGGGTGATGGGGGCACGGTGAGCACCCAGTCTCCCCCGACACCCTGCTCTGCACCCCCAGTGAGCACCCACAGGACGTCATCAATCCCCCTGGCTCCAGCACCCGATGTCCCGGTGTGGGATGTCTCCAACTTCTCGCTGGTGGACGGACATCTGGTCCTCGTGGGCAGGGACGAGGAGGTGAGGGCATGGGGACAAGAGTCCCCATGGGCACCCAGGGGCTTGTTCCAGCGTCCCCTGGGTGACGGGGTGCCCAGATGGGTGCTGGGGACGCCGGTGCCTGACCCCTCTGTGCCACCAGGCTTTGTGCAGGAGCAGGAACCGGACCGGGAGCTCCACCTCACACAGCACCAACCTGCACGCGGCGGGCGCCAGGAGGGACCCCG